ATTACACTGCGTAGAGCACTAAAACCCGTCAGCCGGGCGAGTGAAGCGTTGCTAAATCAAGTCGTTAAACTGTTGTAGATAGACACATGAACTCCTGCAAGAAATTAGCTAATATTATTTTGTCATACTCTGAGCATCCTCTCTTTACACGACTCTCTCCTTGCATCTCATCAAGTTGAACTAGAAGTAACTATAGAAAACTTGATGGCCGGATAGCTGAGTACAGAAATTGTACAATACCGTATTTGGTACACATATAATGTGATGAGAAAAGCTTGATAATAATAGCTTTATTGTAAAAAGTGTTTACATAATATGGAAACTTTATAGCGGAGTTTGTTGCGTAATACTTTTGGTTCATCTAGCATCCTTGAATAAAATATTAATTGTAGGTTGTAGGACACACTTCACTCTAACCGGAGGCGTAAATCAATCTATTGGGATGTCTCTTCTTTTTCTCCCTCAAGAAATGCACGACTTTTGATTGAATGTCGATTATTAAGAGTTTCGAAGTACATTTTGAGAATGAAAGACACAATGCAGGAACAAAAACCCCACGTATTGAGGTACGTTGCAACCCACAAGTTTGCCTATTCTCAAGTTTGTTAGAATCTTTCAAATCGTCAAGTTGTAGACGTGACAAATACTCACATGAGTGGAAAACACCAACAGAGGTTATATTTTATTAGATTCAGACAAACTGAATGAGAGAAATGATATGCGATATATTGATAGCGGGTTTCTGTAACACATGTTTTATGGCACAGGACTACAAATTTACTCAGAAACATCAAGTGAACAGCTTTCTTTCTTTACTATACTGCCGTTGGTAGCACCCAGCGTTTGTTGTCCAAACGCATTATCGAACACTTAACCTCATGGTTTTATAAACGAGAAAAGAGATCTCCCCACAGCAGCTCTATTCTGGAACACCTCATCGAATCTGAAAACACCAAGCCAACCAACAATGGGACTTCAAAGTCGTCTACAGAATACATGAGAATTTTGTTAAAATAGTACGAATCAAGCTTCTTCAAACCGCAGAAGCGGTGATATTTCACATGTTAAAACCTGAACTCTGTATACAAGAGAAATTTGTCAAGTCATCAAATCAACAGTAGACTTGGCCTATCTTAACACCGAATAAGTAATTTTTGGATCGTCCGCTTCCTGCTGTTTCGCTTTTCTAATTGTACGACATTTTCTTCCCCCACCAATTATTAAATCTCTGTCCCTTATTACCACTGTTGTTAACTTGAGTTTTGTTCAATTTTATTTAATTTTAGTTGAGCTCTACTCAATGCGGTCAGATAGATTATGTTACTCAACTTGCTTATTTAGTCTTGTTTTAGTTTCTTCTCTATTAAAGCTTTCCACATTACGTAATTTTTTGTCTAAAGTTTACAATTCTAATGACAAATCTTTGATACCACAGAAAAATGTAACTCATTGTTGAACACCTTTTCTTTTATGTGACTCAGTAAGGATTTTTAAATTTTAATCTCATGCTCATATTTTCAATGTAAATGTCCCGTTTCATTATTTCTCATTGTATCACGTAAAGGTCAAATTAAACGCACTATTGAACCACACACCGAAAATTCCTGTTGCAAGTAAGTCTCAGTACTCGCTTCGGCGGTACATATTCCAAAACGATACATAGAAGATTAGCATGGCTCCTGCGCAAAGATGGCACGCAAAATTGTGAAGCTTTCCACATTTTTAGTGCGTCGGTGGCACACGGGTTAGGACGCTCGCCGACCATCCACATGGTCCGCGGTTCGATCCACGGCAGACGCACTCCTTTACCTCGCTAAGCCATTAATAAAGCTGATAAACTGTATAGATTAGGCATGAGGCTGGCAACCAAATTCTGTGAAAATGAACACTGCTTCAGAAATTTCAAGCCTCTAGCTCGAAGACGTCCTATGTTCCACTGGGATCGTGAAGGAATAAAAAAGACAAGGTTCATAGATCTTCCAACCACTGAGTCTCAACTCAAGGACCAAACTGTTAATTCTAAGTTCCACCAATGTGCCATTTCAGTGCAACCAACATCCAATGTTATCGGAGAATATCTGTCCTCACTCCCTAATGAATAGACCCCACTGGTCCTATTTTTGTTATCTAGGTGTGAAGTATGACTAAATGAAACTAAATGGCATTGTCTGTGGATGAGTAGTATGCAACTACTCATCTCACATAATCAGTAGTATATACAGGTTTATGCAAATTCGATTGCTTTCTTGGTTACCATTATTGGTTTCAAGCAGATCACATATCGTGATCGGAATAATTTGGATTCTGAAATAAAAATTTCAACACCAGAACTGTGTACACGTTACAAATTGCTAACCACTCTATTGGAGATGGATGTGTCGGCATTTACCTGTCAACAGAGGCCTAGTAATTCGCGCAAACATAGTGAATTAACTGGAAATGCAAATACACGTAAAATGTAACTGGTATCCGTAACACACAAGGTGCCCTCATTGCCATCATTGCCTAGTGAATTACCGATTCGACGTCTGAAACGATAAGTGCAGGGTTCGAATCTCAATGCCAAGCACCATCAGTCACTAGGAATGCAAATACACCTGGCTGACACGCCCTACTACAACAAAATGCAAATTCTAGATTCGATTGTTGCTTATTGTCAACCAAAACCAAATTTATATTCAATTACGGAAGAGAGGTGTAATGGAACCTCGATGGATGAAGACGTACAGTGAGGTAATACCAAGCGTTAGTCTACAGTGATTCAATTTGTCTACAGGTCTGACCACGATTTGATATCAGTCAGAGAACCACTGGAAAACCAGCAGGCGGTATTGGTTAGCTGCTTTTTTCCTAATTTAGGATTGTGAAGAAGCACTCAGGCACTGCCCGTGTTCGAACCCAGGACATCCCGGTTATTAGGGAAGCTCGTAGACCGTTCGGCCACTGGGAGCAAGTCGGATAAGAGATCCACTAGTCACCTCTGATAATGGCTGGTAGTTATGCTATATACATATTGAGAATTAGCAGAAGTTGAAATTCACAGGCCATTGAATCGGTTCCCACTGTCTGAAAGGACTACGACCTCACACTGTACACGAACGTCCTGAGTTTGAACACTGCAACAGCCTTAAGGGTCTCTAAATGGATTTCGAAGGCGGCAAAATGTTAACTCCGTGCATACTGTTGAATGGCAATGATGAATCATGGCTTTGGTTTTGTACAGAAACCCTAGAAACCATAGATTGTAAGAATGGAATTAATATATGAATAAAACTTCGGAACTATGTCAGTACATAATTACAAACTAATTCGTTCATTATACGGCTTCATCAGACAGTTCGAGAGAAATAATATTATTCACAGCGTGATAGAGTATCGAACACAATTTATTATGGTTCATAATTATACTAATTATAACCACACAACTCCCAAACCTTAGTTTCATCGTATTTTTACTCCTTACTATTCGTCGTAGGGGTAACAGAATTTTCTAAATGTCATTGTGGACATGTGTAGAATCATTCGTCTTACGCGTGTTTTCAGTTGATTCAATAAACAGAGCTTCTGTCATCAATCTCTTCCTCCACCCTGTTACATTAGATTCTAAAACTGTCATCCTATCCCTGTGCGTCGGTGGCACAGTGTTTAGGACTCTCGCCGACCATGCACATGGTCCGGGGTTCGATCCCCTGCCGGCGCACACCCGATATCTATGGTCGGCCTGAATTTGGGCTACCGATATCCATGCTGAAAATTCCACACTTGTACTGAAAATACGGTGTGGAATCAAGCTGTAAATCAAAATAAAAAAAATCCTATTTTATGGTTGTGTGTAACTGCATGTAATGCTATAGTTGAACTATTCTCCAGATTTCTTTTTGTATTCAGGTCAACTAATCAAGATTTTGTTGGGTTTTTATGCTCGGCTAGTCTGACTGCCCTTGTTCTACTACTCTGACCTATGTATTTGACCTGACAATCATTGCAGGCAGAATAATAGATAAACTAAATTGTTTGTTTTATTAGCCTCACAGGCTGGATCCTTTAACCAACAAAGCTTGTTTGTAATTGAGTTTTTGGGTTTGAATGCCCGCCACTTTTTTTCCTGTCTAGTTAAGGGTTCTAAGTAAGGTGTCAGAGCTTTCTTCAAATCAAATCCCTACAATCCAACACTTGAATATCAATGAGATGCTCACTAGCGACTTGCCCTATTCAGGTAGGTAGTTACCTAGGGTTCTAGTGAGAAGTGGTGACCAGCAGGGTGCAGCAGGTCGGGTGTGAGGACAAATACTTGCCGAAGACATTGACTAGGGGTCGCGCTATGTCGTGAATTGGCAGAAGCTAGAATTCATTGACCATTGGATCGGGTCCCAGTGGCTTAATGGTATACGAGCTCGCCTTGTAACCAGAAGGTCCTGGGTTCGAATCCCGGTGGGTGCGTACTACTGAAGAGTTCCAAACTAGGACAAAACAGCTGTCCAGTACTCCCAGGTTTTCCAATGGTTCTCTAACTGATGTCAGCTCATGATGAAAATCCTGTAACCAATTAAATCCCTACAAACCAACACTTGAGTTTCTTCCATGTATCGAAGTGCAACTGATGATTTAAATTCTTTACTGTTTATGATGTCGTCATTCTTTTCATGTTTGTTATGCATATCCTCATTATAACTATTATCACTATTAATAATATAATCATTACTTACTTCGTTTTTGTATTTCTTGCCTATTTCCTGATTGATGTTTTAAGGAAATTATTAAGTTTCAAAAATTCTCTTATATACCTCACTTCTTGTCTTAGACGCCATAGCGACTCCCAAGTTGGTCTTTTTATTTTCCCTTGTAATTTAAATACTTTAAGAAGTCAGATATAGCTGTAAAAGTGGAAGTAGCATTTGTCGAAAATGCGACAATATTACTTCGATCTTCTAACATCTATACAAATATATATATATATGAATATATAAAATACCGTGTATTGTAATCATTTGTTTTATTAGGCTTCCATGGGAATCATGGACAACATGTTCAGCTCCTCTATGCGGTGGTCAAGGCTGGACAAGTCGTAAACGAAGGTGTCGTGTGCCAGTTAATGAAACTACTGGTTTAGGCAAGTGTTCAGGCAATACACTTGAACTTCGTCCATGTAAAACTGGGTAAGTTTTTATTACTGAGAACATTATAGTCTTTTATATCCCGTATCTATAATATGTTTCTCAATAGAGGAGTTAAGTCTCCTATTCTCACCATTTATGGGTTCTGGTGATTCAATTTGCTCCTGAAGTCCTTACTTGCAGAGATCGATGGGTCCTCCCTATGTATGTGTGTCCACACGTGCATTCAAATTGGTAAATACAATGGGATGTTACATTATTTTTCGCAAGTTCCAAGGGCTTAGATGGATATATCGGTTTCGCATTCTCAATTATTCTGATCTCTGTTACATAAAAAGTCTTTTTAACCACAGCGATCAATATCTTTTGAATTAGTAAGCTGCTTTGATCACCCATTTATGATAGCTTCCTATATATACGTCTTTTTTAATAGAGAGTTGGAGAATAGGTTTTGGTATTTTGACTACCATATGTCTCCTTATGAACTTGTTCGGTTAATTATTATCAAGCAGAGTTTGTGTCAACTTTCTTTCTTCCTCATCATGTGTGTCTTCAGTGCTAATTCATTTGATTCTGCTGAATAGGCACCATGCTGAGGCTCTTTGATATCGAACAGGGCAGAAACAGTGATAATTAACATAATTTCGTGTCCAGGTAGGTTTCCTATAAATAGATCGTTTTATTGATTTATCAGGACATTGACCAAGCAAATAATCTAGGAAAGACAAACAATTATCTTCCTCTTCTACAGGCGTGAGTGATAAGCTTTTCGGAACTTCATTCATTCGATTTAACATTAAGGTGGCAGAACAAGGCTTATGATTTCAATATCATCGACATACCTTCGATAAAGTAGCACCTTTTTCGATTAGATTCTCCGATAAACTCTCAATCTACGACATACAGATATAGTCTTAAAGGGTCCCTGATGGACTTCCAATAGCAACAACATCAACCTGGCGGAAACAGTCGCCTTTAAATGTAAACCTAACATTGCTAGAACACAGAAGTATCAATCCCTTAAATAAGATAAAGGGAACGGGATGAAAAAGTTGTGTGTGGAAATGTAATCACACAAAATGTCAACTGTTTTAAGTGAAGACACATTAGTAAATAAACAGTTAACATGAAAAGAAGAATTCATAATATTGTCGCCGTCAAGACAGTTGATCGATTCAAATGTATCTTTTAACACACACCTTGCAACCGGAAGGTGCTAGGTTCGAAATGGGGTGGGTGCGTACTGCCGTGATGATTCCCAAACTAGGATGAAACAGCCTTTTAGTACTTCTTGGTTTTCAATGGTTCTCTAACTGATATCAATCCATGATGAACTCGTAAAAACATACCTACAGAATTGTGTCTTGACTTGGTGCAATAAATCTACTAACTCTTTAGAATGTTTATGTGTTGGGGATTTTCACACTGACAATATAAGGAGTTGGGGATTACTGGATTTATGCTTTTTTCGTAAACCATACATATGTGGCAATTTACATTCTGATTGTTTTAAAAAGTAAAATGTATCTTTACTTATACCATTTAGGCCATGAAGCTTCACTAGATTAGCTGTCACTATGCCTCGCAATAACTGAATATTTTCTGAAGAGGCATCACGTCTGAATTTATTTACGCCATCAATAATTGCCAGTAGGGTTCATCCGGTTTGGAGTAAGAAGAAAAACACAAGCGTTAAAATGACGAATTGGTATATGTAAGAATCCGTGGGCCATTCGATTTGGTCCCAGTGGTTAAATGATCTACAACCTTGCCTTGTAACTGGAAGACAGTGGGTTTGAAACGCGGTTAGTTCTTACAAGCGACGAGCTTCAGTAGTAACACCATCACTTTTTGGGGAACCCAGGTACATTCAACTCACGAGCTCCAGATCGAACGAAATACACATCCTGAATCCCCCTGCTAGTAACCACCCACCAAATTTTCTCAAGTTAATCCTTAGACGTCGTTGAAGTATCTTCATTATTGGCTGGCATTTCTACAGAGCCTGAACAGTCAGGTTGAAATAATCAACGGCGCAATGAAAATTGAATAACAAATATATGAACTGTGCATTACTTGATCACTTGTAATAAGTTTTACAAGTGTTTCTACGGATTAATTGTGACATCAGTTTTCTGCATTAGCTTTCACAACGGTTAAGATATTGACTCCAACTCCAACAACAGACAACAATCAGCATAAATGGGAGGAACCTGAAAGAAACAACCTCCTTTACCTACCTTGGAAGCATCGTTTCAACTACAGGCGGAACCGACGAGGATATCAAAGCAAGAATCGGAAAAGCAAGGCAAGCTTCCATTACTCTCAAGTCTGTGTGGAGGTCAACAACACTCAGCATCAAAAATAAGATCCGGATTTTCAACTCCAATGTGAAGTCAGTGCTAATATACGGATCAGAGACTTGCACTGCGCGTCATAAAGAGAATCTCAAACAAACTACAGTCCTTCATCAACAGTTGTCTTTGCTCAATACTCAAGATCAGATGGCCGGAAAGGATCAGCAACAAGGATCTTTGAAAGCAAACCAACGAAGAACCGATTGTGAAACAAATATGCAGGAAGAAATGGAGATGGATTGGTCATACTCTGAGGGAACCATCAAGTGACATCACTAGACAAGCCATCGCTCGAGTGGAACCAGAAAGGGAAGCGGCGAGTTGGTCGTCAGTGCAAGGATGACTTGGAAGAGGTCATGTGAAGAGGAGATGAAAACGTGTGGGCAGACATGGAGCCAGGTGAAGACTCTAGCAGAGAACCGAACGGAATGTAGACGCACGGCTGAAGCCCTATGTTCCTGTAGGAATTAAAGGATACAATAATAATAATAGATTTATCATAGATAGTTGGAGGACTTCATCATGAGCTGACATCAATTAGAGAAACACTGAAAAACCTGGGAATACTAGACAGCTGTTTCGACAGCCTAGTTCGGGACTCTTCATCAGTACGCACCTACCGGGGTTTGAACCCAGCTCATGATGTAATCCTCGAACCAATCAAACAAAATCCCTACAAAACCAATAAGTGAAAATGATCATAATTAGATTGGTAAATCCCCACTTGTGATAAAATTGCTAAATATAAATTACTCTGGAAGGTTTAAACTTCGCAGGTGACCTATGTTTAATGTCACTCAGACTAAAAGAGCCACAGTCTACAACCAATAAACACCCATCATCAGTGGGAGAAATCTAGAGAAGGTCAAATTTTTCATTCCTCTAGAGATTGGTATGACAGCTACAAGCAGCATGGATGAAGGCGTAAAAGGTGGGATCAAAAAATTAATACAGACCTTCATTACCTTGAAATTAGTGTCGAAATCTGCTTCATTCAGCATTCATATTAAGAACCGACATGCTGATGGAGGCCAAGTCTTTCGATTTTTACTCTGTCTACAGTTGAAAAGAAGCTTTGACAAAGATGATCTAAGAAAACATACTGTATCAGCCATTTCTCTCGATAATGAAGATCAGACGAACAGGAAGAAATATAGACGAAGAACTCTGGCAACGAATCAACTATTCACCAATCATTTAATTGAATTTCAGAATTTCCAATCGACTGATTGAACTGAAGTGCTCGGTCTCAGGTTGACATGTCGGCTTCTTGTGCAGATGCTTCGATGATGTCTGGGCATGTTGTTAGAATTTAATTGGTGGATAGTGACAAGCAGTGGAATCCAGGACAATGCGCATTTCTCCCTTTTTGGGACTCGTCAGCCAGCGGATGTACCTGCATTCCCCAGTGAGTGACGATGTTCCCACTGGAGCTCAAACCCAGTGCCCACAGTTTTAAACGAAAAATGCACATCCTGGATTTCATTACTAGTCACCATCCACCAATTAAATTCTAAATACATGCCTAGACATCGGTGAAGCATGTGCACAAGAAGTCGACATGTCAAGCTGAGACCGACCACTTCGGTTCAATGAATCGACGGGAAAATTTAAAATTCAATGAAATAGTTAATATGACCCGTTGCAGAAAAGGTGGCTCTCGTGCCACAAGTGGTCGAGTGGATAATGCTGAGGTGTTTGAAACTATGAGCATTGGGTTCGAGCCTTGGTGGCAACATCGTCACTCACTGGGGAATGCAAAATACATCTGCTGGCTGACGGGTTCCAAATAGGACGAAATGCGCCTTATCCTGGATTCCACTGCTAGTCACCATCAACCAGTTAAATATATTAACCTATGACCCAAAAGATATCCAAAAGGAAATGAAGATAGATTAAAAACACCCCGAAGAGACTGTTAAATGACATCATGTCCCAAAACCTATAGTGGAACCCGAAGAAGTAATAGGGAGATCATGGGATAAGGAGATGTACTGCTGAAAGTCCTACATTCCAGCTGGAACCAAAGGACGCTAGTGTGAGTAGTAATACATTATTTTATAGCTATTGATGAGCATCTAAGTGGAGAGGAAATATTTATTCGACGTGATAAAATGATGAAAGCGACCTACTTCTACTTTTCACTATCAACTTGTTTTCTCAAATTAAATAATCCGATTAATTTTTCCCTACAACTTGCTATTAAGAGTGGAGTTAAAAAAACAGTGTGTTTTCGTCTCCCTGTTGTTAATTAACACTTCTAATACATTTCAATAACAATGAAATTAAAAATAAACTATTTGTTTTGTCTGAATTTATACATGCAAAAGAAGAGATGAAAAAAATTATAAGCAACCATGTTATTGCATGTTAGAGAATAGCTCTAAAGATTGTTTTAATACATACAGTTTTAAAGAATTGGACAATTGAGTTTAATTTATTCTAAATGAAATCAACCCTTTTAAGTGATATGAGAGATTCTTTTTCCTTGACGTTCCTAGTCGAACATAGGGCTTCAAGCTAGAGGCTGGAAGTTTCTGTAGCAGTGGTGATTATTTTTACAGGATGAGGTTGCTAGCCTTATGCCCAACATTTCCTCTTTACCGGCTTTTTAATAATGGTTTTGCGAGGTGAAGGAGTGCGTCGGTCGGAGATTGAACCCCGGACCATGTGCATAGTCGGCGAACAT